GTTGACCTTGCAACATTCATCTTACAGCAGATAGCCAACTGATTCAGGACAACGCGCTTTTCTCCGCATCTGACGGAAGTGTCACAAGCTTTCACACAGATATCTTTCAAAATAAAAGTAGAATCAGAAAAAAATAGAATTGCGTTGTTGTTTCTTTGACTGGACATATGCGACTCACTCAAAACGGTCTTGCAACTCACCAGTTGAGGAACATCAAATCTATATTTACTATGCTCCGGTCACTGCTGAAGCTGATTCGGCACTTGTACATTTCCGCACTCGTTTGACTTGCGCCTGGCGCTGAGGTGAAGTTGGAGTGCGCGTCTGAAAAGTCTCACGTTTTTTGTGGTCGTAAGATACGGTTCTGTGTTTTAAAAACGCAATTCTTGTAAAAAAAAAAAAAAAAAAAGAGACAGAGACAGAGACAGAAACGGCAGTTGTGAGAGGGGTGGCCAAAGGGGTGGCCAAGCTTAAGCCAAGGGTGGCCATGGCCACCCCTGGCCACCCCCTGGCTCCGCCACTGCGGGTGGGTCGCGAGAATTAAAAAATGGGTCGCCAGTGATTTAAAAAAAAAATTCCGTTTTCTAATTAAATTAATATTAATAATAATAGCTTTGAAACAACGAAACAAACTGAATGCTTCTCCTGACATGCGTGTTGCCCTCTCGTCCTGCGAACCGGCTTGGGACCAGATTATGCAGAATAAGCAGGCCCTTCTCATTAATATACACAAAACACGCACTCGTTCGCTCCACCCGCAACACACACACGTTCGCTCCATCGGCAACAACACACTAACACTCGTCGTTCCTTCCTAGGGCTGTCAAAATTAGGCTACTCAAAAATTACGTTCTAAAAAATCCCTCTAAAAAAACACATAGGCTATATTTGAACTATTCGAACATCTGGTTGTGCATTTTGTCAATGACGCGCATTACGTCAATAACAGGTCAAATTAATACAAAGAGACATAACTACTTGTTTAGGTAGTTTATTTAAGTTTAAACATATTTGACAACGTATTACCTACACAAAAACAAGTAGCCTAAATCAACTAATGGCCAAGACCGCAGACCTCACTCTCGCTAGGCACTCTTTCTCTCTCTCTCTCCCTCACCTCACGCTCTCTGCCCATAACGGTTTAAATGAACAACAACAACGATAAACAAATGTTGAGTGCTGATCAAGAGTTTTGTGCAAGCAATTTAAGGTCGCGACTCTTGTCCCAAATATAGCAGGCTTCATTCAGTGATTGAAACAAATATTATTAACATTAATTGAAGTTTTAAAGAACCGACATTGAACGCCCCGAGCGAGCTGTGCTGTGGTAAACATGGAACTTTTCCTTGACATGAAACGGTAAATAATCAAACCAGTGAAGCCTGCGATGCATGGAACTGCTGTATCTAACCTACCTTATTCATGCAATAAATAAGAATAAGAAATAAAAAACTTTCAGCTGTGCCAGTGCGACTCTTGTGACCTGTCCCTGATCCCTCAGTGCCCACTCGCAAAGCAGACAGCCGCGCCTCTGATACCGCGGGCGTGTTTTTCCACATTCAAATATTAATTTTCACATTCGAAATTCTGTTTTTTAAAACTATTCGATATAGGCCTATTCGAATTTAGAATATTCGTTGACAGCCCTATTCTCATTTGAATTATAAATAAGTTTGCTTTTAAATTGTGTGTGATTTTGGTTGGGTGACAGTTAAGTTTGACAAGAGTTTACAGTTTGACAAAACCACAATGTTGTGTTTTAACAATGTTGTGTCGAGTGTACACAAGTATAAATAAACACTTTGCAGTTTGAATGATGTCCTGTATGAACGACGGAGTATATTTTTTGTTCCCAGTGCCGCGCCTCACACACACACACACACACATACACACGCACACACACACACATACACACGCACACACACACACACACACACACACACACACACACACACACACACACACAAATACACCATTCCAGGCTTGACATCGCAGCCTGTTCATTATAGCCGAAATAAAAATATGACAATAAAATAGTCAACCTAATATAAAAATCACACTGCTCTGTTTAAATAGTCAATTCGTACCATTCAGCGTAAGCACCGCTCAACCGTGATGTTTCCAAGCACATTTTTGCGCATGTGAAAAGGATGATTTTTTTTCCTGTCGATATTGCAACGTGAGTGAAGTTGCTACAACGCCTATAATAAAGAATAGTTTACCATCAAATACATCGCGAATGTTAAAATATTTTGATTCTAATGAGAGAGTTAGGCTACGTGAGCATAATGCCCCTTTTACTTTCCCTTTAAATTATTTCGTTTTGGCTTGTTTAGTTGTTATTTTTTTATTCTTGTTCTGTTCTGTATATAATTAATATTACATTTAAAGAGTTTGTTGTGGAATATGTTTTGTGTATTTGTACTTTTTAAGCATTCAGCAAATGATAAGCTATTTATTGGTTAAAAGTCCTGTATGTAGGCCTATAGCTTGATCAAATTATTTCAGAATCGACTTTGCGTTGCAATCGCGTCAAGGATCAGCAAGTGCACGTGCATCATCAAAAGTAAAGTGGTTAAAAAAAGTGCTTAAAGAAAGGTTAAAGAAAAAAATTCTGCGCACAAGCCTATGGGTCGCCTAAAAAAAAAAAAAAAAAAAAAAAGGTTCCCTCTTGAAAAAGTTTGAAAACCACTGCTTTAGAAACAGCCTTCTGCCTCTCTCTCTCTCTCTCTCTCTCTCTCTCTCTCTCTCTCTCTCTCTCTCACACACACACACACACACACACACGAAACCGCTCGGACCTTACGAAAAATAATCTTTCATAAAGTTCGGAAAGGTTTAGTTAAGCGAATTACAAGGACATTCGCGGGCTTTATCGCACTGGTTGACGCTTTGCTTAATGTTACTCTTGCAGTTCGCGGTCTCGCCCGCCGGAATTTTCCTCACAAATGCTCTACGAAGGCATTATTTACGTCTTTTGGAATGCAGTTGGCTTATATTAAAAATATGAAAATCACTGAGAAGGCTGCTTTCAATTTAAAATACTCACGCGCGCTTTGTGAAGAGCGCTCGCGCATGCGGCTGTGAGCGACTCATTGGTTAATGTACTGGCATCTCAAAATGCTTTTATTATGCGAAATGAATGTAAACACGGTCGTCATATCTTAAACCAACAGGACAAACCACATCTTATATTTCAAAAGGGATCTGTGCATTAGTGTGAATGCAGCTTATCGTATCTAAACTGAGAAGACAAATCACTCACAGCTCTTGAATGGAAAACGTTCAGACAGCCTACTTTTAAATACTGAAACCACTTTATTGTTTATTGCTTGTAATATTTTTTTTTGTTCCTCTTTATTTACTAGCTTTTATATTTCTAAGCTATATTTGTTTATATAGCCTATTTAAAATTCTTAACATGTTTTTTTATAATTATTTAAAAAAATACGTATAATTACACAAATAAAGTTTTTAACTGTTATTAATAATATTAATTACGAAAAAAAGTATATCATGAGGTGCCTAAAGATTCCCATCCCTACTATACAATGATGTATTGCTTGTCTTTGTCGAATAATACAGAAGATAAAGAACTTAAAAAGTAATCGCATATTAAATCGCAATCGCAATATTGGTTAAAAAAAACGCAATTAGATTATTTTCCAAAATCGTTCAGCCCTAGTTGTGGCCATTTAAAGTTTTTGTAAAATATCATTTTCCCATCTGGTGGTTGTTTTTGTCGTTCAACAGCAATTTACTAGTGAAATACGTTATTGTTATAAGTTAAATTAAATAAAATATAATAAACCTTATATATAAAAAAATATAGCAAAATATATAGCAAATATAGAATAAAGCAAAAATAAAAATGTTATCCTTAGGTTGTATTCCCTTTTCTGTCAAGTACTACTAAACCACCAGTCCAACAGTTACTGCAAACTTGATAAAATAGCCTAAATTAAAAGTGATCTGTGAACATTTGGCATTCTTAACATGTTGTAAAACAGCTTAAACAGCCTATAGTCTTAGTTTCTTCTCCCTGTCTAGTCAGACAGGGCTTTTTGGCTGTCTTTAGGGTGGTTTTTAGCTGGCCAGGCTGGGAGAGCAATTTGCTGACCAGCTAAACCCACTGAGCACCAGCTAAAACCACCATCTTAGGCTTGTTTAAGCAGTCCGCCCAATTGTTCCTGTGCCATGTGTCAATAAACAAACCATGATTGCCTTTGGACAAAACTGTAACAAAGTGCAGTAAACAGTAAAACAATTTGCGCTATAAATCAATATTTTAATTATTATGATAATAAATTTAAACAATATGATAACAAATATCAGTTTGTAGTATCAAGGACAATAATGGACTGTTTTTGTACAGCCAAAATAAATAGAAGCGACTGACACCAGATGCCTCGCACATTTAAGATACAAACAGCCGCGCCTATTCTTACGTTAAAATTAAGGTGGATAGTTTAAATATCCGGTTGTTTTTTCACTTAACCTGATCAGGGCAGCGTTTCTCAAAATCATTGTGAGCTAAGTGGATTGTAAAGACCATTGGTGACAATGGTCTCCACGATCAACTTGGGCTCACAATGCTCTTTGGAAAGCTGCCCAGTGCACTTAGAAACTGAACCTCAAACCACATATACTTTTTTACAGACACTCTTAGCTACTTTGATACCATTTTATTGAATTCACCCAAAAGGATATACATTATAATGATCAATGTATTATGACCATTATAATGAATAAATGATGACAGAATTTTCGTTGTCAGTAACCTATTCCTTTAAGGCAATTAGTTTGATTTAGTGTCATATCCAGCACAGTCCAACACTAAAGTGCTGCTTGTGGGCCAATGAAATATGATGCATTTTGTTCAAAAATATTGGAAGAAGTGTAACAGAACTGAACAGAACACAGGGGTGGTCCAGAGACATGCTTTAACTTGACACAAAAGTCATGATGGTGTAAGTTGTACTTTTCAGTGTGGTACTCACGGCTACACAGTATATTTCTGAAAGGGGCGGGGCCACAAGGAAGGCATTCCAAATCTTCTAATCCGTCCAATCGCATTTTGCTGTAGAATCTTCAATTAGAGAAAAAAAAGTAATTTGTATGAAACCAAGATACAAGGGTGTGTGCGTATACTGATTTGGGTGTGAATATGCATCACAATTGTGTGTGGGCTGATAAAAAATGATCAGCTATAAGCAGCATCATGTTTCATTAAGGTTATTTTGTGTGTGTGTGTGTGTGTGTGTGTGTGTGTGTGTGTGTGTGTGTGTGTGTGTGTGTGTGTGTGTGTGTGTGTGTGTGTGTGTGTGTGTGTCTCACCCAGGGAGGCAGTTTCCGCAGACTGCGTTGTCGGTGTGTGTGCAGTGCTTGATTTGGTGTCTGTTAAGTCTACGGCAGTTCTGGCACAGTGTGCAAGGGTGAGAACCCCAGTCTTCCTTAAACCACCTAAAGTCACACATGCCACATTCTGCCAACACACCTACACCATAACCACAGTCCTAACAGCCCACACGCACACAAACAAACTCAGTAACATAAGTGCATTGGATGCGTCAAACATTTTCTGAGGACACAGCTTTTGTAACCTAGCCCTGTTTGTAAGTCATTTAAGGTCATGACTCATGTGTAAGCCTCTGGTGGCAGGCATGTCAGGCATGGCATATTTACTCCACAAATTGGAGCATATTTTTATTAACATGTCTTCACACATATACCTTTATCTTTCTCATAAAACAGACCAAAATTCACCTTCAAAGTTTTAACATAAGAAAATTAAATAGCAATTAATATTAATTTTTATAAGTCTCCTTACATATAAAATAGTTACGACTAGAAGACAATTGCACTTTGTCTATTTCAACTATTATCTTTTGAATTTATTGAATATCTATTGAATATCTTAGATATCAGGAATAGAATAATGCAAAATAAAAATGTTATCCCCTTTTCTGACAAGTACTACTAAACCACCAGTCCAACAGTTACTACAAACTTGATAAAATGGCCTAAATTAAAAGTGATCTGTGAACATTTGGCATTATGTTTCCCCCCCAAGCAGGATATATGTAACCTGTGCTGGCAAAAAGGAGTCGGAATTATTTGTACGTTTTCTGGGAGGAGTAGGCCTACCTTTCCTTTGTCCATGAAAACCGATCTCACCCGTGCTGACAGACAGATCTGAAGCGTGTGCTCAAAGTGCTCAATTAAACATTGATATTATCCAAACAAAGACATTTGGTTTTGACTTGATGTGTGCCAAATTTGGTGTAATTACCAGGGATTTTATGGTATGGTTGCTTGGTGATTTTGTTTTGGAACCTTCAGTCGATTTTTCTCAAAATTGACTTTGCTGACTCTATCGACTTCAAACAGGTGTAGGTGTAGATGTCATTTTTTGTCCGATACAAACAAATCATACATCATTTTGAAGGTTTTTTTTTAAATAAAGAATGTAAAAATAACAACTCATTTTTGAAAATTTGCTCATTTTGCCAGCACGGGTCACATATATTAACTGCATAATCAAACGTCAATCAAAGAGGGTTGATGATGTTGACTGCAGAGGTTTAAAACATGTCAGTTCATCTTCAAACGTTTAAAAATAAGTGACAATTAATTATAGGTGTTACTTTGTTCATACAGCCCCTGGGCTTCTCAAATATTGATTTCTTAAAAAAAAAAAATTGTTTAAATGAATTACTTTTTAAACACTTGCTTTACAATTATCCTGAAATTGCAGACACACAGAAGGGTATTTCTCTGGCTCGCTTACACATTCTAACCTCTTTCAGTTCTTGGCCGGGTGAACACTTTGGGCACTTGTGACATTGTCCACTGTGATAATACTCGTCTGTTGAGCAATCCATTTCATATCTAAGAGAAGGAGAGAGAAAGAGTTAGGCTCTTACACATAAGTTTACAATACACATCAATTTTTATTTCAAAACTATGAGGCCTGAATGTAAAATACTGTATGCTGCCAGTTAATTTCTTTATAAAACATTTTCTTTCTTTTTTTTTTACAGAAGACTTAAAAATCAATACTCAATAAATACCCTGTCAATACCCAATAAATCAAAATAAATGTAAGGTTTTTGGAAGTAAAAACTAATTGCCATATAATTTACAGTGAAAACATGGCCAGAAATCTACAAGTGGGTCCATTGCGCTGATTCGTGCGCTAAATCCCACCTCTTGTTTTCGTGCGCATTCTCAAATCGGCCTGAATGAAGACAATGATGGCGTTATTGGGAAGACTATTTAAAAAGTAAGTTAACAACTTCGCCACTTAAATATCACCATTTTATGTCAAGTCAAAATCAAACTTGAAATGGCCTGAAAACATGATGACTTTGGGTTTTTTTTAATGAGCAATCAGCTTGGTCAAATGAAAGGTACATCTTCGTGTCTGTGTCTCTGACCACCATGTACAAGCTTGATGACTGCTGAAAATAACATTTGAACAGAAAAACTGAACATTGGTTCACAAATAATATTGTTCAAATTGTTACTGCCTATAGTTATTATTTTGGAATAAATGTAAAAATGCAGAAAAACACTAACTTGAAATTTATACTTGGTTTTAATAAATACAACATTACATAGTGTAAAAAAGAAAACAAAATATAATTATATTTGGTCTCTCTTTTTTATGTAATGTTTATTTAACCTGGACAGTTAAGTGTAACCGGGACATCAATTTACATTTGATTTATGTATATGGGTGGGGTTAGGGTGGACCTCTATTTTTTTTATATATATATATATATATAAAGAGGTAGGGTTGCCAACCGTTATGGAATCGTCCAGTATTTTGACACAGAAAAATCTTGTTCCGTATTGAACTGATACGGAACGCACTTTGTTCCGTATTTTTGAGAATCAATTCAGTGCAAATCCATGACAGACACATAGCTTCTAATATATGTCAGAGAGACTGTGAACGAAGACATTTGTAGGCTATATGATAAGAGAGAAAAAAACGACGGTGAAAAAATACTCATCACGCAGAATTCAGAACAAATATAAATTTAAGAGGACAGTAACCCAGGAATTGCTGCAAATGACCTCGTGAAAGCTGGAAATTGTCATTTTACTTGGTAATATTTTGTATGTAATTGCAATGTTTGAATTCTTTTTGATTGTCATTTGTGTGGTTATTGCTTTGTATAATTTTATGTTGTGAATATTTTAAAGAGGACCCCAGGAAGATTAGCTGCCATTAAATGGGCCGCTAATGGGGATCCTATTAAAAATGAAATGAACAAGTTCGCACAAGGCTACAGGAAACTGTTGTGTTTATTTTTCTTCAAATGCAGTCTAAGCCGATGAGTTTTGAATGTTATATGTTGTATTTGTTTAAGTTAAAAATAAAACGTATTATAAACTAAACAAATCCTTGGTTCATTGTTGGCAAAATGATCATGATAGTCTTTATATCAATGCGGTTCGGTCTTGTATATTGATTAGGCGGCCTACTTTGCAATTCTATAAATATATAGGCCTTATAAGTTGTATTATAATATGCTATAATGTATGATAGCATACAATATTCACCAGAAGTCGTCATTTAAGGGGTTATTTTTCTAAATTTTCTTCCGTGGGGGCATGTCAGTATGGCGTATTAAATGGACTGCATTTATATAGCGCTTTCACAGACCCAATAGCCAGCAAAGCGCTTTACATTTTGCCTCACATTCACCTATTCACTCACTCATACATACATGGCGGTGTCAGCCATGCAAGGCGCCATCCAGCTCGTCGGGAGCAGCTGGGGTTAGGTGTCTTGCTCATGGACACCTCGACACTTGGTCAGGTGGAACCGGGGATTGAACCACCAACTTTCAGGTTTGTAGACAACCTACATGAACCACTGAGCCACTGCCACCCCGTTTTATTATTCTCAAGTTTTTTTGGCTATGTTAGACAGGCTGCTTAATGATGAACACTGATTAATTGTGTGGATTTCTATTTGACCACCTGTATTATGGTGGATCTCAGTAGCCTACATTTTAAGGTAAAAGCAGATTTTGATACCAAGTAGATTGGAATATATTAATGGAATGTGGTTATTAGTTGTAAAATATACAGGCACCAATACAGTATGCCATCCCGTAATACCTGAAGCATTGTCACAATATTTTTTACATCCAATTTCCGGGAACCACAGCTGACAGTTTTTTTAACATGGTTGTTTTACAGTGTAGTTTAAAGGTTTTTCATTGTTTTAAAATGTTTTAAACTTCACATTTTTTTTACATAGAGGATAAAGTCATCAATAAAAATGTACTTAAAACTACAAGCTCGGTTAAATTTAATCAAGATATGAATTAAATCTTACATTAAATGGTCGTTTCTCTAGTTTCATGCAATAGCAAGCTATTTACGTTCATTTCAATAATAAAGATTTATGGCCACCACTTTCATCCATTCTGAAACCGAGAACACAGAGAAACAGATCAAGAGAGAGCGCACATTTAGGTGCCATCTAAAACAAAAATACCTCCTTTAAATGATCTGTTGGGAATAATTTTCCCGAGGCTTAAAATACAAGAAAGCTGGTCAAACCGAACTACGTAAGTAGGGCGCACTGCTACGATTCAAAATTAGAGAGCAGTGTACCAGCTACATCATGAATCTCTGTAAAGTCACGTAGTTTCATCCACACTTACATTGCAGGGGCAACAACGCGCAGTAGTCACTTAATTATCTGTCCCATTGGAGTTACCGTCTCCTGTGGCTTTGGGTAAATTCGGTCCAGTTTAGCTTGTGTTTTAAGTTGCTGAAGTTGTTGACTGGCACACATTTGCCCAGTGCGCAACAGTGGGCTGCGCGCGGGGACACACGGGCATGTCCCGACATGTTCAAACTGTGACTGAAATCCACTGCAGAAGAAGCAGGGATGCCCGTGAGAAATGCTCCTAAACGGAAATTGCGATTAAAAATGATTTCTCGCAATGGACTAAATCTCAAATAAAAATGATACCTAATTGATAGCTTGTTTATTTGTAACGAGGTACAGTCAATGTGTTCTTAAAGGTTTTACTCAGTTCTAAAAGCAGTTTCATGGCTTCTTTCGCTGCAGCAAACCCTTATGAACGCAAGGTGGCGATAATTAATTTATTTGGAGTACGACCTTTCATAAGAACGCGGAAGTGAGTTAGCATTTTAGCACTTCCGGTTCCCTCACCCTGGGTTTTTTTAATGGGTTTTTGCTAAATCGCCTGAAATAAGGTCTGTGGTTAATAAAGCCTCTAAATATTTTCACGTTTTGATCTATGACATAAAACACAACAGTTATAACCTGCTTGTGTTTTTTTAAACTTTATTGTGTCTTAAAAACAGTGATTGCTAACAAGTTGCTAAAAGCCAAGGGACTACATCCTTTGGCAGGGACTTAACGTTAGGCGTCATCATGACAAAAAGGAAATCTCTCACTAACCCGTGTTTCAGCCTCACGTTCTTAGAAGTTTACCTTTCAGTTAATATACATAACGTTATATATTTAGTCTTTTCAAATAGTAGTTTTTCCAAATATTGTTGTACACCGAATTCTGTGATATTAAGGTAACCGATTACCAGCTCTTTATTTCTGTGGAGAGACTGTAGTTCGACAATGATGTTTTGTTTTGTCCCGAGATGCAACCACAAGTCGTCGAATGAACGATGCTCGTTTTACTTATTTTATGAAAATAAAGTTGTTTACTACAACTCTTGCTGTAAGGTTTCTGTGGCTCAGTGATAAGAGCATTTTGTTAACTGTGCAAAAGGTTGCGAGTTCAATTCCCAGAGAACACGCTGATATGCATAGCCTTAATGCACTGTAAGTCGCCTGTCTGACAAAAAACAAAAATTAAATGTTAAACTATTGTATACTAGTATACTGTTGTAACTACGCTCCAATCAGCTCACAGTAATGTGAATGTGAGATAAAATGTACTACACTGGCTCTCACATTGGGGCTTGTGGATTACCAGGTAAAATATATAGAAAAGATTAACAAAATGAGTATGTATGGTTTATTTAGGGAACATATATGGTTTTATTATAATATATTATAATAAGCATTTGTTGATGCTATTGGACAATTCTCTTTAAATTCAACATATATAATTATATACAACTATTATATTAAATGTTTGGAATTTAACTGTGTTATGCTTGTTCAGAGATTATTTGTATAGTTATCTTAAATACATAGAACACTATTATAACTCCTCTATCTCCCTAGTTTTACTTACCGAGACTCGATAAACGTTGTCCCTCACGCTGGCCCTTATAAAAACCGGCAAGTAAACCAGCATCTAAGCTGCACTGTTTTACATGTCCAGATTTATTGTGGTTCTCTCCTCGGTCTATGGTTTTTCTATCGTCTAAGAAAAAGGACATAAGATTGGAAATTGATACGGCCATAGTCATAGATAACGTTAGTGCTTCTGAGATGGTAAAATCACTGTTTTTTTCTGGCAAATTAGCAAATGGTATCCAAACATACAATCAAACATAATACAGTGAAAGATAATCTTTAAAGTTTATTTGGGGCACAATGATGGTTAGATACTGATAATTAATCACTCAACCCCCTTTATCTAATGCCGCGTTCCAGGCAACCTGTAACCCGTGTTTTTCCAACCTTATACCCGTGAAAGTGCACTGGAACGGCAGTCAAACCCATGACTTCCCACCCGTGAACTCGTACTAGATCGATGTACTCCCAGTTACGAGCTCTGATGTCACATAGCCCGCGAAACCATACAAAACAGCAATGGTTTGTTTACATCTAGCTACCACAATTCCTTGCGCTCAGGTAGTTTGGCGTGACTGGCTTGGAACGTGACAAAGTCGTGAGTCGTAGTTTGAAGTCGTGATTTACGTGCTCAAAAACCTGCCTGGAACGCAGCATAAACCTCTCTACACAACCGCCGGACTCACGCATGTCTGTAGTTTTTTTTTTTTTTTTTACACTTTTCACACTTGTAGTTCTAATGGATCCTCGTCCAACGCGCGATGGGTTGTGGGCAATATCAGCCATTAGAGTGTGCATCGATCTGTAGGCCTACTTCGGATTCTGACCGGATATAGTAGACTATCCGGGTCTCTTTGGAACACTCATTTCAACATACTACGATTTGGGACGTACTATTTTCGAATAGGCCTACTATTTACGACGGATAGTATGCGAATTGGGACGCAACGTTAAAGTATAAATACTTAATTACAATATATATTTACAGTATAATACAAAATTGATAATTCTTATTTTTATGGGATATTGCAGTATTTATTATAAATGATTTACCCGTGCACATCCTTTATTTATTTTTCAAATTAGCATGTGCTCCCATGATCTTTAATCAAAATAACTTCCCCTCCATCTTGAAACAACATCTCTTCTGACATGTTTACTGAGACAAACTGTCACTCACGTGAGATCACAGCAATAGCAAACCACAACGATCCAATCAATTCCCCAATGGACAAAATGTATGTCACAATAGGGAAGAAAAGACTAAAATGCATAACAATTAATATAATTTTAGAACATGTTCATCATATTCAGTTGTAGCTCATCACATTATATTACATTGCACTAAGTTACATTACATTACATTTGTAATATATTGCATTCTGTTATTAGATTGCATTACCTTCAAATGAACACTGCAAGTCTGCAAGTAAGTGATCAGTTGGCAAGTACCACAGCAGGCCATGTTTATCCTGACTCCTTCTTATTGAAGATAGAAGGCATATGTGCTGATTTATTCATGAGCAAATGAAAAATGTGATAAGCAAGGTGACCCATACACATACGCACCAAATGCCCCTTAAAACATTCTAACATGTTCATTACTCAACAATTAATTATATGTGTTAGTTTTTCAAGAGTACTGTCTTTCTCTCTGTGTGATGGTGCGCTTGATGAATTCATTACACCAAAGTTATTTGTCTATTACAAATAGAAATGCATGGACTGCAAAAACATTACCCACCGAACAAAAATAAAAATTCTCTCCATGAGTGCTCCATTGCTCTGTCACTGATGATTTTGGAGTTAATTACGTAAAATGATGTTTATCATCGTGCAAAACACACAAAAAAAAAAAAAACAGAAAGCACAAGCGTTTGTGTCAGGTTGTTATTTTAATTATAACGGTAGAATTGTGAGTATTATGACCTGCCAGGATCCGATGTTAGATCCACCAAGCAGAGAGGTTAGATAAAATGAATAGAGAATACCTTGTGTTTTTCTGTGGGGGCTCGCCCATATTTTTGTGTGCCCGAGCCCCCGAGCAGTGCCTATGATAATTTTCTCCACAATTATCACACACGAAACGATTAAAAAAATGCTAAAGCCAAGTGAAAAGTGTTTTGTGTGGTATAATGAAAGAATAACTGCAGAAACTGGTATATGTGTGAGAGATTGAGGGAGTAGGGCACTTTAGCCTTGCATAGTTAGCCGTATGGTTTTGGCAAAGGAAGAAAAAAACAGATAGAGAAAGTGGGAGAGAGTGCATGACATTTTTTCAGGGTTATTGTGTCTGAACTGTATCAGGTCAGAGACAGTGTTTTGCGTTGGTTGTTTTGTCCCTTAACCGGTCTTAAGCAACTCAAATAGAACAACAGGATGTTATATTAACAGAACCTTTTCACCTGTCAAAAGGAGACCAATATTTTGGTCATTGTTGTTGTGACTCGTGAGTGCTGTCGTGGACAAAGATGTGTGATCACCTCATCCCTGAATCTTATCTCAGCCTGTTCCTGTCCTCTTCCACTTCACACACATTCTTATCAGAAGTTTAGATTTGCCCTGACCTCTAAAATGCGCATTGACGTCCAACCTTATATTTAAGTCTAAGACAGATGTTGTTCTATGAAGGTGTCCCAGACAGAGTCCATAATGACAAACTTCAGACAACAGGATAGCAAAAGTACAATTTGACAGATTAGAGCAAAGAAACTTTTGTAAATATCACACCGAAGTGCTTGAATTTTTGGACCATGCCTAAATGAAGGCATGTATGCTTGTCTGAGCATATACATTCCAGCCAGATGATCCAACGGTAGCTGCTCACATCTCGGCCTGCCTGACAGACTTTTTTTTGCTGGATGAAGGACCACCACCTTCAACTCAACCTTGCGAAGACAAAATTGATTGTGGTCTCAGTCAACCCAATACTTCTTCTCAACTTCTCCATTCAGCTAAGTTCGTCAACCATAACTCTATCAAGAGGTGCGTTTCCCAAAAGCATCGTTAGCCAACTATGGTCGCAAGTTCCATTGAAATCTATTGGTAACAAGGGAACTTTCCACCATAGTTGCCTTTGGGAAATGTACCCCAGGACAGACAGGAACCTTTCACATTGCTAGAACTGCCCGGTCCTGCAAATTTGCCTTATACAACATTAGGCGCTTCTTATCGGAGCATGCTACACAACTCCTTGTCCAAACTGTTGTTCTATCTAGACTGGTCTATTGCAATGCTCTTTTAGCAGGCCTCTGCTGCTGATTCAGAATGCTGCAAGAGTCTTTATTGAGCTGAACAGAGCACACATCACACCTCTCCTCATAGAATTGCACTGGTTGTCAATTGCCCCTCGCATCAAATTCAAGGCACTGTTTTTTGCCTACAGAACAACCACTGACTCTGCATCCCTATACCTAAACTCACTACTTCAGACTTATGTGCCAGAATGTGCAATGTAATGTGTGTGTGTGTGTGTATGTGTGTGTGTGTGTGTGTGTGTGTGTGCGTGCGTGTGTGTCTGTGTCTGTGTGTGTGTGTGTGTGTGAACTGCGCCTTGTGGTGCCATCCCAAAGAGGCACAAAATCACTTTCACAGACCTTTACCTTGACTGTTCCAAGCTGGTGGAATGACCTGAGCTCAACCCAAACTGCTGAGTCTTTTGCCATTTTCAAGAAACGGCTGAAGACGCATCTTTTTCGTCAACACTTGACCCATTAATTCATTTATACTAACAGTTACTATTC